ATCATCTTTTCCTCTACCAAAATATGGATCATCATCAAAATCCAAAGCTCATATGGTGTCAAGCAAAAAAAAAATCAAAATCAAAATCAAAATCGCAATCAAAATCAAAATCCCAATCACAACCGGCTTCAACTTTTGGAACTTATCAACTTAGGTGATTTTTAAATGCAAATATTGTATTATGTGTATTTTATGTGTGAATGCATACATTTTCAGTTAGACATGCAAGAAGAAACTTGAGTTTGAATATTGCTATGATCTGTTCAGTTGTTATCACTTATCAGATTATTCTCTGTTATCTTTTTGAAGGTGTTTTCCTTAAATTCGCAACGCGAATGTCAAATTCATGTTGTGATTGTTGCGAAAGTTAAATTCGTATTGCAATTGTTGCGAAAGACAAATTCACAACACGAAAATCAAATTCGCAAGGCAAAAATCGCAACGCGAATTTGACTTCCGCGTTGCGAATTTGATTTTCGCGTTGCGAAAGTGTACCTTCAACAGGTCTTTTTTGCCTTCAACATAGTGCAGATTGAAAATTAAACAACAAATAAATTAAACAACATTGTAAATGATTTGATATATATATGTAAAACATTTGTTCACAGTATATCCAAATGCTCCTAACAATAGGGAGCTTACATCCAAATACATCAATTTGTTCACGCACCTCACTTCAGGATTAACCTGCAGAAATGTTATGGCCATGAGATTTTCTACACATCTAAAACCAACAAACAACAAATTATTGAATTATATGTTAACAACACTTGCTCAAACTTACCAATAATAAATGGTTGTTTATGCACACTTTCACTCTAGCCATAAAATGCCAAAACCACAAGCCTACTGTACCTCTATCTCTATCTGTGGGAGGTAGAAACTGTTTACCTCCTGTCGTCAAACGTTCCAAGCACATGCATACAAGAGGACCACAATCCCCTCTGGCTCCCACCATTTGTTGTGGCGCTGTCTCGTCTCTCATCATTGTAATTTTGAACTTTTTTGGCTTCTTGTTTCCAGAATTAGTCCAATAATCAATCGCATCCAAAAATTTAGCCAAATGAGCGTTCCATCCCTTACAAATAATATCTTTCAAATCAGACAATGATATATAATTCAACATGCTATCATATACTATCATCTTCAGGGATGAGAGCTGAAGCTTGACGAGAAGCAAATGACGACGTTCCATAATAGGGATAAACACTTGCAATCATAAATAATAATTCAATTGCCCACATCAAATAAAATTTATGAACACCTTTAAAATATTCAAAAATAAATACTAACCTTATCGACCTCCCACCACGCAGGATAAAGGATAGCTTTTCCATTACCCAATGCATATGAAGCGTCTCTTTGATCCTTCAAGTGAGCTACGTGAAAAGACGAAGGCATAATAGTCCATCGAGTCTTTTTTTATTTTCTTCAATTTCCTTATAATCAAAAGACGTGACACCTATGCATCAATATGTTGTTTTATAAAAAAATACATATATTAGTGAATTTAATAAATTTAAAAAGTACCCCCATTCGAAATAGCCATTTTCTTCAACCCCTAATAAAACACCCCACCAAGACCGATCAAGAAACAAATGCATACTATCGTCGATTTTGCATATGTCAGCGTAACACCCCTGGCTCCGCTCATGTAGATAAAAATCAACTGCAGTCTTAGCCTAAAGGGTATTATCCATAATTATGTCTGGTAGTGTTCTCCTCTCCTGCTGAGGAATGGTACTGGCCGGTAACTCATACGAAAGCCAACTATCATCCATCATACCGGGCACGTGAGGGGGTTTATCAATATGTCGTCATAGTATGCCATGTTAATTGGGCTCTTGAACGGTATGAGGGACCTCTTGAACGATGAGAGGGGTTTCTTGAAAGGTGGGAGGGGCCTCTTGAATGATGATAGGTGAATCGGGCTTCTTCTTACGGAGTCTTGGAATAATTGGGGTGAAAGGAGACGTAATGGCACGTGCACGACGTCTGATGCGTGAACCCCGTCGTGCAAGAAAAACCCGATAATATTAGGTCCTCTACCAATAATATTAGGTCCTCAGAAATGGGTTTTTTGGCCTCTTCGCCTAAAAAGCCGGCATGCAAAAGTAATAAAAGGCATACTCGGACAACATCGAAGTCATCCATCCGAGTAAAACCATCTTTAAGAAGTAATCTTTTCAAGTCGTCGACGTGTAAACTGGGCTTCGCCTTTGCCAGCTCAGGAAAAACCCGAGATAACCATGATGAGCGGGCTTTATGACTAGTGTACCGACCTACTTCATCGTTTCTGAAATGTAGACTAGTGATTAAGCAAAACTCCTCCCGCCCAAAACAAGTATACGCCGGTAGAAAATGAAACCATATCTCTTCATCACCACGTTGTATCCTCTCGGGTATATCGTTAGTCATGGTATGAAGAAACAAATGGGTCAACATAGCATCTCCACCTGGATGTTGTACTTTCAGCCATGGCCCGAAGCAAGTATCCTCAAACAATTTTCTTTGTACAGGTGTAAGTGTCGACACAATTGTAGTGGCTAGGCTTAATTTATTCCTTAGAGTCAATGAAGCCGAAAAATATTTCTAACAAAAATAATAAACATACCAAGTTAGATATACCAAAAACTACAAATTATACATTATAAACAGACATGATATTAAACAGTGAAAACAAAGCCAAATATGTTTCAAACTAGCACAATTTTTACCCAAGTCATTATTCTATCATAGTTCACAAAATGCATCAGATAACATTCCAGAAGTAAGCCCTTATAGAAACATTTAAAAGGACAACATATAGGTTTAGTGCAGGTTCAAGGACAACATAAAGAGTAGTAGTTTATTCTTGAAACTTAAATTCGCAACACTATGAAGTTAGTATTTGTCTTTGTTTTTTGGTTGAAGTAATGCAATTCATTCAATTTCAATTTGCAGAAGAAAAGTAGTTTCTGAAACTTAAATTCGCAACGCGAAACTAAAATCATGTTGCGAATTTCATTTTCACGTTGCGAATTTAAGTTTCAAAAACTATTCTTTTGCAAATTGAAACTTGAATGAATTGCATTACTTCAACCAAAAGACAAAACAAAGACAAATACTAACTTCACAGGGTTAAAGACTACACAGCTTAGCAGTATTGGCAGCAACCGAATGAATTTACTAAGCAATCTAAGTGAAATGGTTAATCTATATATTGAAATTACCAGTAAATTTATCATCAATTTAAATATGAAAAATCTAATAATAATACAAAATTTTCAAAATAAAAATAATTAAAAAAATAACCCTCGGTGGTTGATTTTCCATTTGTGACCGTGAATGGTTGTGAGGGTGGCTCTGAGAGATGGAGATAGAGGGGGGTCGCTAGATATGGGGACGAATTTCGTCGGAGATGGGGACGGACGCCGTAGAGAGTGAGAGATGGAGATGGGGCTGAGTTGTGATTTAGGGTTTTAGGTTATGAGTTACGATTGTACTGTTTACATTTGTGTTGCGAAATTAATATTGTGTTTCGAATTCGAAAATAAATTTCGCGTTGCGAAAATAAACGCGCTTTGCGAATTTGACTTCTGTGTTGCGAATTTGGAAAATCGCGTTGCGGAAAAGAAATTCGTGTTGCGAATTTCAAAATTGAGTTGTGAAATTGGAGTTCACGTTGCGAATTCGAGATCGCGTTGTGAATTTGTTGGTCATTTTCACAAATCCAAAAAAATTGGTTAAAATCGTATATTATAAGGTATTTTCGGTCACTGAAGTTATTTTCTCTATTCTAAATCTCTTACATGAAAAGAAAACAAAGGCAAAATCTTCTCGAAAGATCCTAATATATTTATATGGAGAAAAGGATGGCCATCTAGAATTTATTGACTTTTATGATCCCACGAACCAACAATTCCACCCCTCAATTAAAATCAATTTGTTAGAGGAAAATGATAAATCCAGTGTTTTGAAAATTGGACCGGCCAGTTCAATCGGGAATCGCTGCTTAGTCCGGTTCAATCTACACCGATTGAACCGCTACTAGTGAACCGGCCAGAATCGCTGAACTGTTCGAACCGGACCGGCTAAAAACTGAAAAAAACCCGCCAATTTTTTTTAAATTAAACCAAACGACGTCGTTTGTTAAACGAGCCAAGTCGAACTCGAGTATTGCTGAGCTCGACTCGAACTTGAAAACTTTAAAAGTAAGCTCAACTCGACTCAAACTCACGAGCTAAAAATTATCAAGTTCAACTCGAACTCGAAATATAATATTGAAACTTAAACTCAAAAAAAAAATAGAAGCTTGATTGAAGTCTAAAATTCGAGCTTGATTGAAGTGAAAGAATAGTTCACTCAATGCTCACCAAAAGGCTCCATGATTTTGAATGACAAATTACCTCTATTATTTATAGAAGTTAGTTGGGATGTTCTTCTATGTTTCTTAGCCATATGAGATTGTTTTGTTCTCATATTTTTACTCTTTAGACTTTTGTGATGCTTTTCTATGTTTCTTAGCCATATGAGATTGTTTTGTTCTCATAATTTTACTCTTTAGACTTTTGGGATGCTTTTCTATGTTTTTACCCATGTGAGATTGTTTTTAAAAAAAATTAAACCAAACAATATCATTTTGTTATGATTTTTTTAGCCCCAAATTTATTTTTTAATTATAGTTATATAATTATATTTATTATTTAATATGTTTTACCTTAAATATTATGTTGTAGTTAATTTGAATCATTTTGTTTCACTTGATTTTATAGTTTTTAACTTATATATGTTATGACTTGATTTGAATATGACTTGTGATATAAAAAATTATTTTTTATTAAATATTTTTGGTATTTTTATTTAATTTTTTAAATAATTATGACGTCGTCCGATTCTTCTGATCGATCAGACCGGTTCAACCGATTAAACCAGTGAACCGATAACATGATCGGTTCGCTAACCGATCCGATTCTGAAATCCATGGATAAATCGACTAAACGAGTTTGTGAAGATAAAGGCTCAACACCCACCTTCCTTGAAAGCAGTCTTCAATCATTCATTTGCCTTCAAAACCAATTTTCATCCCCAGGAAACATGTTTGGTCCTGCCAAAAAGCTGCCCCAATCTGATTTCAGTCTATCGAAACACATGGGGAGGAAGTATGATTCCAGGGTGCAAAAGACTGCTCAAAATTACAGAAGTTGGAATACCATGGGAGCTGATGAAACTTCCGTGATGGAAGATGACTCTGGAGTTTCTACTCCCCCTTTATGGGGAACTAATCCTTCAACGACTCCTCAGCCTGGAGAGAACATTAATTACCGATGTTTATCGCCGTCATCGCAAGCTCAAGCCATCGCTAGAGGTCAAAGGGAGCTTATGGAAATGGTTAGCAGAATGCCTGAGTCTAGTTTCGAACTCACCTTGAAAGATATTGTGGAGCACCGGGATGCGGCTGCTGAACCGAAACAGGAGAGTTGTGCTGGAGGGAGAGGTGCCATCAATGAAGATACATACAGCGAAGAGAAGGGGAAGAAGAAGAAGAAGAAGAAGAAACAGCAAATCAACAGAAGTGGGAGCATAGATAATGGAGGGTTTCTTCTGAAAATGATGTTTCCATTTTCCTTGGTGTCAAAGAGGAAGATGAAGAGGAATGGTTCAAATTTAAATTATAATTCTAGAGTTTCACCGAAGCCAACAGTATCAGATGAATCTGGTAAAAGCATATAGATAAAGAGTGGTTGAAGAAGAGATTGGGGTCGAGCAAGAGTGACGGCTCTGGATCCAATGTAACCAGTGGAGGTACCAAAAGCAGCCGTAGCAGCAGCTGCGGGAGCGTCAGCAATACCGGCGGCAGGTGTGTTATAACAGTGATAATTTCAAACATTTATCATTTATAAATTCACTCTGGCCCTTGCTATAAAAATCCTGGTTCCATCCCAGTTTATCATTTATAAGTTATAACATTTGAATTTTCATGTTAAATTAATGCAGGCATGCGGGGAAGGATTGCTTGCCTTTCATCTTCAATAGGAAGAACAAAGCGTCGCGGTAAAACACCAGCCTTGGGCCATGTTTGAAAATGGAGTTCAATGTGTAAATTATCTTTCCTGTAATGCGAAATGTTTACGTACAATGGGTACATGAGATTTCACATACAGATGCAAAGCCAGTGTATGATCAGATTCAGAAATTGTAATTGCAGAGTTATCAGCTTTTTTTTTTACCCATAGAGTGAAGATGAAACATGATTTTGCCTTCCATTAGTAGCAAACAGAGAAGAGAAAGGCCTGAAACGAACTGCAGTAGCAAAGGTTGAAAATATTGAAGAATAGTACACGAGTAGAGTCATGAAACTAAGCTTGGCTGAGGCTGAAGCAACACAGAGACAAAAGTTTGTAGAATTTCAATCTCTAGACAGAGCTTACAGGGAATACTACAGCATGAAGACTAGAATGGAAGCTACAAGACAAAATATTGGCATGTGATTTGTTAATTGGCTTTCACTTGGAACCGTTGTAGTGTTGTCTTAGTTAACTTCAAGGTAGAACAGAAACTATGCGTTCTATGATGTGTATACTTTATGAATCAAGTTTCTGTAGTTTCTAAATCGAGTGGTTCCTGGCTTTCACTTGGAACTGTTACTGTTGGTTGGAACCGTTATCGGCGCCTCACCTTCGACAATCTTTCCCTCCCATCGGCGGATGATGACAGTGAGGTGTGGTTCTAATTTGGGGTTCAAGGTTTTGTATATAATTTGAGGTATGATTTTAAGACTATAATTTAGGTTTTTTAAAATTTATTTTTTTATTATAATTCTACGTGGTATTAAAATATTAAGAAAATATATCAAATCATATGAAAATATAATATTATAATCTAGGTCATCTAGAGGATCAAAATATGAACAATTCAAAAGTTAAGTGTTTAAATTAGAAAATTAAAACTGAAATGGTCAAAATAGAAGTTAAAAGATAATTAAATGATGAATAATGTAATTTACCCTTAAAATTTCAATATCCAACAACCAAACTCAAATTCAAAATCTAAAGCCAAAACTTAACGAAACCCAAAATCAAAAATCTAAATTACTGGACCATATCCAAGTGAATCCAAAATTTAAAATTTGCTCAAATAAAATAGCAAAATCATCATTGGTAATTAAAGTCTTTTATTTTATTTTTTTATTTTAATTTTAAATTGATTTGAAATTATTCCTTCCTGTCTCAGATTTAAGCATAATGAATATCAGAAAATGAATATTTAATATTAAATAATTTAGAGTTATCTTTAGATAAATATTACCTCATATTTATCCCTAATTAATAAAAAATATTTTATATTTATAAAAAATATAAATATATTATCTAATAAAAAATTTATATTCAATTTTAATAATAATTTAACATAAATATTATTTTTCTCAACCACATAACAAATTAGCAATTAATAATATTGATATAATAATTAAGTGTTACTTATGTTAAGGGTCCAGTTTCAATCCCAGCAAATCTCTTTTCCCCTAACCTATGTTTTCTATCAATATTTTTTGTGTTTTTTTCTTCTTTCCTTTTGATTTTTGTTGTGTAAATTATACAGGAGACCACCAAACTATGGTCGATCTTGTCACTGAACTATTTTTTGTCTCAATTCGACCACCAAATATTTTAATTGATTCAATCAGACCACTCTCCGTTAAAAAAAACATACTGACATGTACATTAATAAAACTAGTATAATTATATATTTGGTCCTTAATATTTACACATTATATCAATTTAGTCACTATTTTAATTTAATTAAATAAATTTAACTATCCAATTAGAACATGACACGTTCTTGTCAATACATGATTGAAATGTTTTATTTATGAATTTTAAATTATTTAATTATATGATTTTTAACCAATTAGGTGGTGACACATGTCACCACCAATTGAAATGAAAAATTGAAGAATAAATTTGCGCTCTAAGGGATTCCATCCTGTGTCTTTGGGGGAGAATAGCCAAATGCCCAAACTATTGGGTCAAAACTCCCCAATGGTTCTAATTTACAACAGTTTGTATTTGACTTGTACCGTTAAATAAATTATTTGGTTAAATAAATTTCAGTTCGATTAATGGTTACAAAAAAAATTCGGTTAATTCGATTCGGTTAATAATTTTCAAATGAATTTTGGTTCGATTAACGGTTAAGGAAAAAATAATTTATTTGAAAATTATTAATCGAATTTTTTTCTTTAACCATTAATCGAACCGAAATTTATTTGACCGTTAATAGAATAAAATAAATTATTTTTTCTTTAATTGTTAATCGAACCGAAATTTATTTGAAAATTATTAACCGAACTAAATTAAACGATTTTTTTCTTTAACATTAATCGAACCGAAATTATTTTACCGTTAATCGAACCAAAATTTATTTGAAAATTATTAACCGAACGAAATTAACTGAATTTTTTTCTTTAACCATTAATCGAAACTGAAATTATTTGACCGTTAATCGAACTGAAATTTATTTGAAAATTATTAACCGAACCAAATCAACCGATTTTTTTTCTTTACGTATTAATCAAACCGAAATTATTTGATCATTAATCGAATCGAAATTTATTTGAAATTTATTAACCGAATTAACTGAATAAAATAAATTATTTTTCCTTAACCGTTAATCGAACCAAAATTTATTTAAAAATTATTAACCGAATCGAATTAACCGAATTTTTTTTGTAACTATTAATCGAACTGAAATTTATTTAACCAAATAATTTGTTTAACGGTACAAGTCAAATACAAATTATTGTAAGTTAGAACCATTGGGGAGCTTTGGCCCAACGGTTTGGGAGTCTAGCTATTCTCCCCCCAAAGACACAAGTTTGAATCCCTTGGAGCACAAATTTGTTCTTCAATTTTCCATTTCAATTGGGTGGTGACACATGTCATCACCTGATTGATTAAAAAATCATTTAATTAAATAATTTAAAATTCATAAATAAAACATTCCAATCATGCACATCTCATGTTTTAATTGGATAGTTAAATTTATTTAATTGAATTAAATAGTGACTAAATTGATAGAATGTGTAAATATTAATGACCAAATATATAATTATGCTAGTTTTATTAACGGACACGTCAGCAAGTTCGTTTTTTTTTAACGGAGAGTGGTCTGATTGAATCAATTAAAAAGTTTGGTGGTCGAATTGAGACAAAAAATAGTTCGGTGACAAGATCTATTAGTGACTATAGTTTGGTGGTCTCCCGTATAGTTTACCCATTTTTGTTTAATGGACCGTGATATCAATCTTAATATTAGTTTTCGATCATCGATAATTATTATTTTTCTTTTTCTTTTTCATATTATGTCCTTTCATTTTCTTAAATTTTTTAATTTTAAATAAGAATATCTATCCTAGTGACACACATTTTCTATGCTCTTGTGACATATTCCTTATGGCTTTTGGTACGTTTTTGCACACCTCTTCGGTCGTATGGATGCTCGCACGAAGACCCTCACGACACTTGTTTTATGATTAGTTTATCGGTGATCATGTATTGTCAGATCTCCTCTTTGGTAAAAGGTTGTTTATCGATATAATCAGAATTGTGTAAAGAAAATACCTATCAAATTATTTGATTCACTCACTGCTCATTTATTATTTCGTAAAGCGTTTTGTTCGACAGAAACAAGAAGTTTTATGAAGGTTATTAGGCTATTTGGTTTTAATATTTTTGTTTTATATATGAATTTTTTAGTGATCATTATCTCTATTTTTTTCTTTATATTTGAGTACATTGTAATTGTAATTTCTTCCGTTACTTATATTAATGAAATCTAGTTAGCATTGCTAAAACAAATTAGTGACCAAAGAAAAAAAAAAAGCGCTAATAGTTTACTGAACAATAAGATTGTAATGACCCGAGAAACCTCAAGTCAATACCCCAAGCTGACCTGAACTAATGTATAAATTAATTTAAATTAACGAGTGAGGAGTCAAGGAAATTTGGGTTTTGTAGAGTTGGATTTGGGGCACAAATGGTAGGCCCAAAGAAAGAAATTGAAATTAAAATAAAAAGGGAAGGATTTATTATGTAATTAACTCCTTGGATGAAGAAAAATCTAGATATGAACATTTATAGTAGTGGGTGTCGTGAGTTTTGACAAAGGTAATATCATTTCTATCTTCTCCATCAATCTTCTCCCATTATTCTTCATTTTCATATTTCCTTCATCCATTATTGGACTATATAGTTGAATTAACAAAGAGTTAAGGTAAAAATCATTCCCTTTATGTTACAGGCTTCAAGTTGGATTAATAAAGAGTTAAAAATATACTCTCCTTCCTATAATTTTTGTCTCATAATAATTAAACGCATAATTTTAAAAAGATAAATTTGATCATAAATTAAATTATATAAAATGAGCGAAATGATAAAATTATGATCTCTAAAAAGTGATTAATAAATTTGACCGATTTATTTTGATATTTATAAAAGAATAAGACAAATAAGGATAAAAGAGAAATACAAATATCATTATTTTTTGATTTTTTATAAGATATTTTGAATGAAATAATTTTAAAAATTAAAATGAATAAATTTAATGGGACGGTAAAAATATCAAAGTTAAAATTTATAATATTAAAAAATAAAAATAAAATTATTGGGATAGACGATAACTAATATAAAGCATAACATGCAGCTGCCACAATCTCACGAGGTAGGCAATATGAGGTTCAGGTTCTACAAACATTTCTAGTGCACAAACAAATTATCTTTCATTTTGATTATTGATGTGCTTGTCTCTAAGATGCAATTTTACGTGACACGAGCACATGAGTAAGCAATATTAGGTTCATGCGCTTCTCCATCTCGAGTACCCAATTAAATTATTTTTATTTTTATTATTTTCTCTCCTGATTCTAAGGTTTGACTTCGATTAATTTGGACCTATCCGCATCGTACTCCTGAATTTGATGGGTGAGTCTTCTACCAGGAATTTTATGCGAACACAATTACTCGAACTCGAAACCTTAC